GATATTAGTGCAACAACAAACAAGCAGTGATGCAATAGACCTCTGAAGCTTTTACAGCATGTATTGTATACGCAATACGTAGGATATTGATCCCAGATTTAAAAGTCTATTAGTAACCAATCAATAACCAATGTTGCTAAGGTCTGTCATTGCCAGGCAATCTCAATCGACCCTGATTGATATATTTTTCCAGAGTACCAAACTAGGGMAAAAAAGACCTGCCAACTACCAATATTTTCCAATTTTCAAGGGCTTTTCCAGTCAACCCTTGAAAGACTTAATATTCAAGGAGATTAAAGAGTAGCATGAACCCTGGATCTCATACCACCTGGGAGTATTGATACTGTTCAGTGCTTTATTTATCGTATGGTTCATTTTTATTGTTCACATCTGGTTCATTGACCATATGCAAAACGAGCAGAAGACTGGGAATGAGCACCTTAAACAGTCCATGTTTTTAAAAATCTGTTTTCACAATAAGAAAGAGTATATTTAAACTAGTGATTTGGCGTAATTTAAGTTTCAAATGGCAAAAAATTGGCAGAGCTACGAGGACTTGAAGTGCACCAAAAACATGAAAACAAGGCTGGTAAGGCCTCGATACCGATTTTCACACAAACCTTTGCAATTTCAAACATCTGTAATTTGTGGTCCATAAATGTTAGAGCATTGATACTTTCAGATCTTACTCATTATAATATGTTCTTTGAACGGGCAGCAGTGATATATCACAGGCTAGTAACGAGGCGCGCATTGGGATCAGGGATCAGCGTCAGTCAGACGTTTTGGGGCTATTTTGGGATCAGGGATCAGGATTCAGGCTCAGGATCCGGATCAAATGGATTTAACCTGGGATCAAAGGTTCTTGAACTGGGATCGGGATCAACGATTTTTTTTCAACAATTCTCAGGGGACCAGGGATCAAAATGTACGGAGTTTTGGGATCGGGATCACGTTTTTAGCCTTTTGATCCGGATCAGCAGGAAACAAAATATATCTCGTTACTAGCCTGTATATCAAACAACGTATATACTAAGGCGTTACGATATATGGTCTATTGATACTGACAAATTGTCTCTAAATAACTGCTTTTTGTTAGTACCGTATTTACTCGAATAGACGCCGCGGCGTCTATTTCATTTTTCACGATCCAGCTGCGGCGTTTATTCGAGGGCGGCGTCTATTCGGGGGCGGCGTTTAAAACAACACTTTATTCAGTACTACATACCGTACTTTATATTGTATCGTTTTACTAACAAACAGTAACGAATCTCAATATAAAAATGTTGTGTTCATTTTGTCTATTCAATAGCCGACTTTAGATATTTTGGTTCAGTGACCATGCACAAAAGAATTGCAGACGAGGCTCGGGGGAAATAAAGAATAAATCAAGATTATCCATTGATAATTTTTTTTTTAATATTGCAAAGAGTTATTTTGAAGTGCACGCTTCAAAATGACCAATCAAAAAGCGTATAATATCGTTTTATTCTTTATTTCCCCGGAGCCTCGTCTGCAATTCTTTTGTGCATGGTCACTGAACCAAAATATCTAAAGTCGGCTATTTATAGTTATTATGATTTTAACCAGACTTAAACTTCTATTTCAACATCAATGTCCTCCTAGTGGTCGGAATCTAACAGCTGCTGAGATCAAACTTCGAAATAAAAAAATGTTCTAAAAGAAAATAAATTCCCATTGCTGGTATCATTATTTCCTCAAATTGACCCCACACCCCAGATGCGGCGTCTATTCGGGGACGCGTCTATTAATATTTTGAGCTTTAAGTGCGGCGTCTAATTGAGGGCGGCGTCTATTCGGGGACGGCGTTTATTCAAGTAAATACAGTATTTGTTTTATTTCATGGTTTTCCTGCGTTTGTTCTAGGATTTCTCATTAGAGTTCACACGCTGGCCTCAAACAAAGGTAAAGTGAGTGGGAAAGTGTTAGGCACAGTAGCAAAATAGAAAAAAAATGAGTGGAGTAGACTATAGATCCACATGATGTCCACAACACGAGAACCGTGCATAATGATATGGATATATAATATGTAAGTCAGACGAAAGACCAACTCAATAAAAACTAATCAAACAATTTCTGACAACTTTGTCAACTTTCTATTTTTGGTTCAGACTGGCAAAATTAGAATATCTTTTTATATTTCATATTATATTTCAAAATAACCATAAAAGAATCAATAAAAACAAAAAAAAATGATACAGAAAACTGAAATGCAAATGAGCAGGTTGTGTTCACTTTACTCTTGAATACACACTATTA